CCTTTTTCCTTAGTAGCTAAAAGAAGGGCTTCGTTCGATCTGAAGACTTGCTGATGAATCAATTCAGGGTGGCTGCCATTCTAGCCAGCTTCTGTAGCTCTTTAGCCTTTGTTGGCACTTCGAGCTCTTGTATTGTTTTGATTTGATCCGAATTTGCCTTGTTTCCTCTGTGAGTCACCATGTACCCTAAGAACTTCCCTGTTCCTACCCCGAAAGCGCATTTCGAGGCATTAAGGCGAAGTTGATGGTTTTTCAGGATATTAAAAATTTCTCTCAGGTTTGTAAGGTGGTTTGTAGCGAGCTTGCATTTTACTACCATATCATCTATGTAAGCTTCCATGGTTCTTCTGAGCTGATCCTTGAACATTTGAGTGATCATTCACTGGTAGGTTACCCTGGCATTCTTGAGGCCGAATGGCATTACTTTGTAGCAATAAGTGCCTTTTAGAGTAATAAATGTTGTTTTCTCTTGATCTGGGCCAAACTGTGGTATCTGGTAATAGCCGCTATAAGCGTCCAGAAAGCTCATACGCTCATGTGCTGCTGTTGAGTCTACCAGTTGATCAATGCGAGGCAGAGGAAAGCTATCCTTGGGACAAGCTCTGTTAAGGCAAGTGAAGTCAACATAGACTCCATTTTCCGTCATTCTTTTTTACTATAACTGTGATGGACAGCCATTGTGGGTACTAAACTTTTCGAATCGCCCTTGATGCTAGGAGCTTGTCGACCTCGACAATTACTGCTTTGGTGTGCTCAACCGAGGATCTTCGGCTTTTCTGCACAATGGGCTGAGCAGAAGGAATGATGCTGAGTTTATGGCAAGCAAAATCTGGACTCAACCCTGGAGTATCATATGCTGACCATGCAAATACCTTCATATTTTCCCTCAGCAAATCCAACAGCTGAAGTTTCTCATCAGCGCCTAGCGAGGTACCGATAAGGAAATACTTTTCTGGGTCATCTTCCTTTACTAGGACTTTCTCCAAATCCTCTATTATCTTTTCCACTGGGGTTCCTCCGACATCCTCAAAGACTAACTGTTCAGCTACTTCAACTGTATGTACCCGATTGCAGAGTTGTTTAGCCTTCATAGCTGCCATGAAGTAATGTTTTGATGTAACTTGATCCCTTGAGATCTGCTCTACTCTGTGTTCCGTTGGGAAGCGGATGAGCTGGTGGTAGGTTGAGGGGACTGCTTCCATTTGATGAATCCAAGGACGACCGAGTATGGCATTGTAAGGAGAAGGCGTATTAATAACTAGGAATTCTATCTGCAGGGACTTTGTCCCAGCCACAACTGGCAACACTATCTTGCCAAGTGGCCATTCAAGCTGTGAATTAAAACCGACCAATGGAGCTGCCGCCGAGGTGAGGTTCTGCTCAGAGAGACCGAGCTTCCTGAAGAAGTCGTAATACAATATATTTGCTGCACTACCCTGATCTACCAGGACTTGTTTTACGTCAAATCGTATCCCAATTTCCACAATTATAATCAGTGCATCAGTATATAGGTGTTGAATACCTTCTAAATCCTTTCTAGTAAATGAAACAGTGCACAATGGGGGCTTAGGTACTGTACATACCTTTTTCGGCGCGGCCCTACTGACATGACTTGTTGAATCTACACAGCTTTGGCAATTTCTTCTTGAAGTGCCTCCTCGTGCTCGCGGCTGGTTGTTCCATGGATTACATTTATTACCAACCGAGGAGGATGCTCAATGTTCAGTTCCGGTAGAGGGTTCCCTTGCTCGGTCACCACTTTATCCTGATCAATGTAGTCTCAGAGGTGTCCAGCAGCTACCAAGTCTTCCAGGTGTTGCTTTAATGCTTTGCAATTCTGAGTCATATACCCCCCGTCTTGGTGATAGGTGCATCTGAGCTTCTAATTACGCCGAGCTGGATCTCCCAACATTTTTGGCGGCCAAGTAAAGAATGGCTCTCTCTTGATCTTTTCCATAATGCAATAGATTGGTTCCTTGAATATTGTCACAACTGCTTCATGGGATTTAGACTTGTCTACTTCCTTCACTGTGAGTCCTCGGTGTTTCCCCCGGTCCACTCTTTTTTTGTGCCAAGTTGTTTGTTCAGTTGATGCTACCTCGATGGGGATCTGATCATCTTTGAGGCGAGCGTACAACTCAATCCTGGCATGCAAGTCCTTCAGTGCTGTGGCTGGGCGCTTGGTAAGTGACTGTCTTAGCTTACTTTCCGGACACAGACCGTGTTTAAAAGACATTACAGCCATCTGTTCACTACAAACGTTTTCTTCCAGATTATTATACTCTTCCCAATACCTTCTAGCATAATTACGCAGCATTTCCTCCTGTTCCTTTCGGAGACCGAACAGTGTATCTGGCTCTTTTGGGATCTTAGTGTTGGAGATGAATCTGGCCATGAACTCTTCAGAGAGCTGCTTCCAGTCGTAAATCGATCCGGTGGAGAGACGATCGAACCATCGAAGTCCACATTCTCCCAAGCTGGACAGAAAGACTTTGCACATCAGTGCCTCGTCTCGGCTCCATAAGGACATCATCTGCCGATAATGGCTGATATGTGTCTGTGGGTCTGATTTCCCATCGTATGACGTGAACTTTGGTGGAGTGAATTTCTTAGGAGGTCTCATGGCTTCGATTTCTGGGGAGAATGGAGAGGAGACGAGCCGATCCAATGCTCAGTGCTCTCTCTGATGGATAGTACGGTCAAGATGATCTCACCATTGCTCATTTTATCTGTTGCCAATCAACCAAGTACAGAGATCCTGAGGAGGATATTCTGTCTGCTGGCTAGCTGTTTTTTGCCTTTTAGCCCTTCTCCGGCGTGAACCACAGGTGTGGCTGCTCGCTCCCGCACTTTGTACCCAGATTGGCTGGCTTTGCTACCTAGATTCATTTCTAGGAACCTTCTTCATTGGTGGTTCACGAGATGGGCTCCTCTGTCACAAGCGAGAGGGCTCTGCGTCAGTCCTCTTCTCTGTCGGGTCGCCCATCACCCTTTTGAGTTGTGCTTTCAGTTCCTATATCTCCATTCCCATGGAACCAATGATTCGATCCCTGTAATCCTTCTCTAGTAGAAAATGACGAGAAGAACCTCCAGCGAAGAGCAGTCAATGCTCAACAGATTCCGGAGTCCGGTATTTGTTTTCAATCTATTCTTCCAGGACTATCGGGAGTGCCAAACCTTTATCCTTTGTCTTCTCCGTTTGTGGAGTCAATGCCGAAGGCGGGATGTCCTCAATCCCCATCACCAAAATCAAGTGCAGAACTCAAAGATGAAACAGTCCACGTTCACCACACCAGTTGTGCGTACTGAATACCGCACTAGATGATTGTGGATTGGAGCTCCGCACTTGATTGGACTATCCAAGAATCGAGACCTTACAGCAATAAGCACCGTTAGAGCTGCCCGGCCGGGGTTGGCCGGATAGCCCCTCTAGTGTGGGAGTGAGTGATCGGAGAAGATGAGAGGTACTCTCTAAGTGTAGAGAATTGTGTTTAAGTGAATATGGTTTAGCTTAGATCAATTAACTTCAGTGTGAAGTCAGTGTAGTTTATATAGAATTCCTTGTTCGTTGCCCAAGATGGTTTCATGGAGTTCTAGTGCTGCAAAGTTTCCTTTAGCATTGCTTAAGGTGGGGGACCATCTGGTAGTTAATAAGGGATGTAAATACTCATTGTAACCATGCTTATAACAGGTCACATTCCCTCAATCAACTGTTTTCGTGATTCTAGGGGGAAGGGACCAGTTGAGGTGGCATCCACCATGTGCATGTACTCACAGTTTCTACGTTTCTCTGTTGGGTTCTTTTAGCGTGGTACCGTCGTGCCTCAACTTGGCCCCTTATGAGATTACTTGTAGAGATGGGCTGGCCCAGTAGGATATCTTTGTATAGGCTTGGCCTCTTTTAGACTCGGCCCAAGGATCAGATCCCGCAGCTCGGCCCAACCCAGCATCGTGGCTAGACTAACCTTTCCACTACGGGTTAGGCCCAAGTGCTTGAGGACTTGGGTGGATTGGTGATGATGTAATTGGGCTAATCTGACTAGCCCACTTGTTTATCCTGCTCCTCAGGACTTGAGTCTAATGGATTGGGCCGGCCCAAGGCTTGGATCCGACCTATTTTATATTTAGTCCCTTCAATAATGTTTTGTTTTGGTGGTTACCCTACCGATTTCATCACTTTTTCTGAAGATTCCCCTAATGACTCTACAGAAGCAAACAGCAATTAAAGTACTACTACAAATATAAAAAGCGCTGAACTTTAATGCTAAACTCATAAAGAAAACAACTCGTTTGGGAAATAACTTTTTTAGCTTAAAGTCCAAAAGTTACTAAAAAAATAAAAAAGCCAACAACCTATACCAAAAAATCAAAAATTCTCTTTTGTCCCTACTTTTTGCACATTTTTTCGTAAAAAATAAAAAAGTCATCTCAAACATAATAATTTTTTTAACATCATATTTTATTCAAAAAGTTAGTAAAAAAAGCCTCTTCTCAGACTAGGCTACAAAAAAGTTATGCTTGCTTGAGAACACATATCATGCATGATACTCATTATCTCCTTCAAACCGAAATTTATACTCATTTTATATCACATTTTCTACAATTAAATACAATACAGCATCATCAACTTTCTCTTGGATCCAAATGCTAGACAGTGATGCAAAAAAATCCATATCTATGTGCAATTGGTTGTGAACAATTCTGTTAGAGAAGATTATAATAGAAACAAAAGAACACTGTAAAGATTCTAATATCGATTTATCACAATCTTCGACGCTTTCAATTCGCTTTTACTACATATTCCACAGTAATCAAAACGGAGAATGAAGTGCCTGAAAACCCTAAGAAACAATTAAAGCACAGGAGGCGCAATTTCATTGAACAGAACACTAAAACAACAGAATCTTCTCGAGTTGAAGACCAAGCACCGATTCAACCAAAACCTTGGAGGAACAAAATCCTTGAAGAGAAACGAAAGAATTACTAAAAAAGAATGGAACCTGTTCAGGAGTGAGACGGAGAACGCGTTCGGAGGGCTTCCAGTGGGGGAGGACGTGGTCGGGAACGGAGCTCCGGCGAGCTGCATTGGAGAAGGAGGAGGTTGAGTAGTTGTTGACGTTGCCGTTGGCGGTGGAGGAATGAGAGTTGAACTTGTGATAATGATCAGTAGTAGTAGGAGTAGTAGTAGAAGGTTCTAGGGTTGTAGTTGAAGAGGTTGTGGTGGTTTTGGTGGCGATCGAGTTCCTCAGATGCGGAGGCACATAAGACATTGTAGAGAGAGAGAGAGAGAGCGCGTTTGTGTGAAGTGATGAGGTATGGAGAAGAAAGGGGAGGGGGATTGGATGCGTAGCAATTGGGGAATCAGGGGATAAATGCCACACTAGTTGAAACTTATGGCTTCGTTTGGCGTGTTAATTTGGGTTAAAATCATTTCAAAAAATAAAATAAATTAATAAATTAATAAAATAAAGTATTATATTTAAATTATAATTATTTTAACGGCAATAATATATATCATTAAAAGTGATGTTTTAAAATATACTAGTGAGTTGACACACATAATAAAAAAATAAAAAAAAATAAAAAAAAGCAACGCTATGATAGTGGATGGAGCCCATTGCCACATTATTAGTGCTTAGTGATCTTAAATATTTAACTTATTCCACAAATGAAAGCTATACATGAGGGTACGTATTATATACTATTGTATGATATAGATGCAATAGTGAAAAATTATTTAGGTTAAGTTTGGCATCTCAAAAATAATTCATTTTTTTATCTTTTTATTTTTTTCTATTACATCACATCTCTACTTTTTGCATATCTTTTCGTAAAAAAATAAAAATACACTTATTTAGGTCATCACAAACAACCCTTTAATAATTTTGAAATATCACGCAATCATATTACAAATTTATCACCGATTACTTAGGTAGCGTTTGGTAACGTTTACGTTTTTTGTTTATGTTTACAAAAATTTTATAAACTGATTTTTGTTTATTTTTAGAAAAACATAAATTACAAACGCGTTTGGTTTGAACAAAATGTTTAAAAAAATTTAAAAACATAAACTAAAAAATATGTTTGTTCAGACCTAAAATATTTATATTTATTTTTATTTTTATTATTTATGACAATGGGATCACACTCATTATAAATGAAAAAAATTAATTAAAAAAAATAATTGAAAAAAAATTAATTGGAAAAAAATGAAAAAAAAAATTAATTAAAAAAATAATTGAAAATAATTTAATTGGGAAAAAAATTAATTGAAAAAAAAAAGATTAATTGAAAAAAATTATTTGAAAGAAAATAATTGAAAAACAAAATTATTTGAAAAAAAAAATTATTTGAAAAAAAATTGAAAACTGTTTTTTCTTCAAATTTATAAACTGAGACAACCATTTATAAACTAATAAAATTATCAAACAAGTTTTTATGACAATTTTTAAAATTTTTGTAAATATAAACTGAAAATTGAAAACGAAATGATTACCAAACAGACCTTTAACCCTTGTATTATTTCCATATTCTAACATAAATTATAAACTCCTATCTCTATTTACCAATTAAAATCTCATACAACTTCACATAATCATACTTTGAAAATACTAAATAATGACGCTGCAATGGTACTAATCGTACAATCATCTCTCGAGTTATCTTCCAATCCACTCCTCCTTGCAATGAGTCTGTGGGCCCGTTCCCAAATTCTGTTGGCGTGGTGCTAGATCGACCAAGTTTTATTACCTCAATTTTGTTCAAATGATATGAATTTAGTGATGTGACGATAACATGAAAATTATTTTAATAATAATTATTATTATTTTATTTATTTATTTTAATGATATTAAGGTCTTATTTGGAGTGTCTTAAAAAAATCAAAAAGTCACTATATTTAAGTCACATCACTTCTCTATCTTATCACTTCAAACCCAACCCATATACAATCCATATTTCATAAAAATTTAAAAAGTACATTTATTTACATCATCCCAAACCACCCCTAAATCTAATTATTGTTGATAATATATGATTTTTTGTCATATTTTATCAATTTTTTTTGGTAAATTTTATATTTTTAGCAGCACTAGTATTTAGTTGATTTTGTAAAAAACTACGACATTGTTGATAATTTGCTATTAAAGCATCTCCAACGGTTCAGTATTTTTTTCATCAAATCTAAGTAAAAAAATGACGATTTCTTCAATCTGATATAATTTGTTCCAACGAGTGTATTGTAACTTGTATCAAAAGGGCAAGGACGTCTGGCAAGACGACCAACCGGTCAACCGGACAAGGCACTGAAATTTTTTCCCCCCTTCCATGAGCAAGCTCTCATCACTGCTTCATATGTGTGTAGCAATATTTTGGATTTTGGTAGAAATGATAAATAAATTAGATAAATAATAACAATTAGAGGGGAATAAATAAATTGGATTTCGTATCCAGGCTTCTTTGCAGGAAGAGGGAATGATTTCTTTCCGAAGCTTATGAATGATGTTCCTGTGTTTGACTCTCCAATTATTTTAAGCATGTCTTTCAAAATGCCGGAGTTTGCTGCTTTTGGAGGTGAAAGAACGAGGAAGAAAGCAAGCAAGAAACAGAATGGGGAAAAGATTAAAAAAAAGATACAAAGGTGGTCGACCTCTTAGTGTAAAATTTTTACAAAATTTTGCTTGAAGTGATCATCCGGTAGGACACTCGGTCGGTCGTCCGGTAGGCCCACACTCAACGGCTATACATAGTAAATTGGTGAAAGGAGCTAGAGATCTTTAGTTTGGTGAAAAGTTTGGGGCGTTCTCAATTTGATACTGTTTTGGTGAAACTGTTGGAGCACAAAAAGTAGAATTTTTTCACCAAATTTGAATTTGATGATGGATTTGTAACGCCCCACTACTTGCTGGCCCAAATAACGTGTAGGTCAACCAATAATATCCAAAAGCTTAAGTCCAAGTTATTTAGTAGCAAGGTAGTAGTGTTATATATGTCAAGATCACCCATGCAAACTTCCGATGTGGGACAGGGTGTTACAAACTCCCCCACTTATAAATCCTCGTGTCCTCGCGAGGGTCTATAATCAATCAGAATACCACGACAAGCTCGTGGCCAGCCCAGAATAAGTGGCCCACATGGTTGTGTGCATGGGTCGGCTCTGATACCATTTGTAACGCCCCACTACTTGCTGGCCTAAATAACTTGGACTTAAGCTTTTGGGTATTGTTGGTCAACCCACAAGTTATTTGGGCCAGCAAGTAGTGGGGCGTTACAGGATTTGATGAATGGTTGGAGATGGTCTTAGTACTACTATTTGATTACGATTTAACAACAGATTTTAAATATAAAAATGGTGATGAACACTTATATAAATAAATAATAATGATAAAAAAACTGGTTATTTCTTATAATAATTTTAAGATATTTTGATTTTAGGCTCACCATACTTCCAAAATAAGAATACTATATAAAGATTTTGACCATTACCTGAACGTAGTCAACATAGGGCTTTGGCGTTGGCAAGTTTTTAGTTTATAGAGGTAGTGGCTAACCTCAACCTTTCCTTCCTTAGCAGGCTCAGTACTGATATGTTTCTTTTCTTACCTTAGATCGTAACTTTAGAGGTTATGTTCTTTGGTGATGTAGGAGACCTAAGATTAATAATTTGTCATATGAAACAACACACTCTTTTTTTTATAAAAAAAATAAAATAAATAAATAAATATTTATTGAACAAAAAATTTACAAGGCAATGGGTATTTGTAAATTGTTAGAATGACAGAGTATTGTTTGTTCTAAGAAAGCTTGAGATCCCAATTTTTTTCTTAAGCCTCATTTGGCAACTTTCTGTTTTAGCCAAAAAGTCAAAAAATCACTATAAATTGTCATATTACTCTTTCTATTTTTCTGCACATCTTTTTATAAAAAGTCAAAAAGTTACTGGTCTGTTCCCAAATGAGTTTCAAGTATACTCCAGTTAATCTATGCCTCATTTTGCTCTCTCTTAAGGCCTTTATGACCCCATTTAGTAAAGCTGTGAGAAAGTGATTATAGATTATGACTTAAAGGATTATAGATTATAACTTTAAACATATGCTGTTAACATATTTGGTACAACTGTGGGATTATGGATTTAATTAGCAAAGTAGTGTTTGGTTGAATAAGCTGTAAAATAGTTTTTTGCTATGTAATGTCCCTTTTGCCCTTTTTTTCTTTTTCTTCATTTTATTTTATTTTCTCTTCTTTCTTTTTCTTTTTTCTTTTTTCTTTTTTTCCTTCTCTTAATTGTTTTTTATTCTCTTGTTTCTTGTTATTCTCTTCTTACATATTAATTATATTCATGTATTTATGTTAATTGTGATTTCATTAATTAGTATCAAGTAATACTAAAATTATTAATTAGTATCAATTAATATAATATTTTTTTTCATTAAACAATCAAATTTTTTTCATTACAAAACCCTACTCGTCGGCCCCTTTTTTCTCCTCCATCCGTACGGCGTCGGCCTACCTTCTTCTCCTCTTCCTTCTCCTCTGTTTCAGATCGGCGACCAGCCGGTTCTACAAAACCCTAGCTGCCGGTCTGCAAAACCCTTATTTTCCTTCTCCTTTTCATCCCAATCGTGAAGCTCTTGTTCGCGAAACCCTAGCCGGCGTCTGAAACGACGTTGATGTGACAACGTTGATGTGCGAGTCGTCGATGCAGATGCGGGAGGCGGCAGAGAGAGAGCGAACACCAGAGATGATTTCTGATTTCAAATCGCGATGGAAAGAGAGAAGGGGAGAGAGAGAGAGAGCTCATTCGTGAAACCCTAGCCGCCAGCGTTGATGCGCAATGGAGAAAAAGAGAGAGAGGGAGGGAGTGAGAGCTCTGGTTCGTGTGTGTGTGTGTGTGTGTGTGTGAGAGAGAGAGAGAGAGAGTTGAGAACAGTGTTAAGGAGCCAGAAATCGCCCTTGTCGGAAATTGCCCCTCGTCGAAAATTGCTTTTGTCTCTCTCTCTCTCTCTCAAGTGAACAGTGCTGAGAACGAGGCTTATATAGTGGGTTTTTGGTAATAGTTGAAATATCTAAGGGGCATTTAAGTCATTACATGCCTCAACAAACAGTTACGCGCATAATCAGTTTTCAAAAGCACTTGGGAACCAGCTTAATAGATTATTACTGAAATGACTTAAGTTAACCTATAATCCATCCCTCATAATTTTTACCAAACACTCCAAAATGACTTATTTTAAGCTATAAGTTGATTTAAGCTGCAAATAAGTTTTACCAAACACCCCCTATATAGGTACTTGTGAACCTCATGTCTAAACTTCAACCTCATCTACAAATATAAAATATTTTACATATTATA